TTCAAGCGCAGACATGGTAGCGTCCATTTCGTGGATAAAAGGAATTATTAACAAAAAAATGAAAAACTCAATTTTGATTTTTTTTTTTCTCAGTGTTGCGGCAGTTAATAGTTTTACAGCAGACTGTGAATCATACTGGTGCTGTCATTCTCGGACACAGAAATTCAGTTACGGAAAGTACCCATCATAAATCTGAACCGTAGGAATGCTGCTGTTTTCAGCCTTGAATTTACAATTGTGACTGCAATTTGAGGAAAGTGTTTCCTTAACCCAGCTAAAAAAGAAGTTCCAAAAAACAGGAACAACAATGTAATCAAGCACGAGTTTCACTGAAGTTTCACTGAGTTTCTATTTTTATACGAACGCAGCGATTTAATCAGGGCGGCGCGGCTCTATCCGTTTGCTGTGTAGCTACCAGCTGTTGTTCTTGAGATAATTCTACACGTGAAGGTCTCCTGAAGTCCACGGGCTCGCACCGGCCCGCTTCCTTCCTCCTTCACCTCACTGCCTCCTTCCTCTGCAATGGGCAGCCTGACATTTGGACTCCAGTTAAAAGCTGCCAGTTCCCTTCCACCAGATCACGCCAAAGAGGATCTGGCGTCCGTGCTGGATATCCAACCTTGGGCATTAGGTCCAAACTTCTGCTGGGTGCATCCGCAATGCCCCCAAAAATCTATTTCAAGCATTTATTTCAGCTAAATTTATATTCCCTTCAGAGAATATCATAATAATTATGGTGAATGAGTTTCTCCCAATGAATCCTCAGCTTTCTGCTCAGCGAGACCCAAAACATGTCAGTCAGACAAAAAGAAAACACTGGCAGGGAGGGAGACCCCACCCTGACCCTAACCCTAAACCTAACCCTAACCTTGATGGCGCGCCCCCGTTGGTCACCTGTTGTATGGATTCCTCAGGAGCAGCGCTTGGCTCCCGGCGCAGCTCTCCGATGGGTTGTGGCATCCGTAGACGGGGGGTGGGACGGGATACTGCTGCTCACCTGCACACAACATGTACCTCGTCAGACCTCTGATGGCAAGCCGGTGCCCCGCCCACCCAGGCTCTGCCCTAGCTCCACCTAATCCCCGCCTCTCCCCATGCCCTCACAACAAGCCTTCTGTGAGCCCGACAAAGGCCTAAACGCCAGGGCAATTCGCTACATCCATTAATAAAGCCGACTTGCCGATTCACAGACAACGGGCTCGAAAAGGTAGAATGAAAAGAGAATCCCAGAGCATTGGACAGAAGTGCTTCAGCAGCAGAAAGTCTACTTGGGGATAGAATAAATGTTTTAAAAACGTCTGCAAATACAAGCAGTGGCTGAGCAGTGCTGCAGTGACCCGGCTCTCCTTCAGGAAAGCCGCGGTCCCTGTGGAGCCCTGATGGAGATGCAGCTGCAGACTCGGCAGTTATGAAAACAGCAGCACTTTCTTTGAAAGCGAAAGCTACACCCAGCCACTCAGGCCTTCAAAGCGACAGTGAAATATGGCTGCTTTTCCTTGCCGCCAAATTTTGTGAATTGGTCTCATGGCAGCTTTAAACCTTTGGGAAGCTCTTATATCGTCCTTCCTTCGATGTAGGATTTACGTTAGCAATATCAATAGCAAATAGCCCTTGTTGTTTACTGATGTTTCACACACTGCATGGGGGAGCTGGAGCAAGATATTGTGCATTTATTAGCCTGACATGAACACACTGTGTAACGTTTAACCTTTGTATGACTTCTCAGAGGTAACCATAACCCCAGTAAAAAGCCACACACAATGTCTCCAAGCTACCAGTGGCCTCACGCACAGACACACACAAGGGATATTTCCTCAGATTACTCCATGGCTGCACATACTCAGGCATACTGAAACCTCCAGATGCTGCAGGCTGGGCATGAATGTGATAAACGTTACCCATGTTGGTCTGCTGCGCAATGGGGTCCTCGTGTTTAAAAGAGTGGTTGGGGAACTGGGAGGAGTGGTTGGGGAACTGGGAGGCATGATGGGACGGTGTGTGACCGTAGCTGGCTGCACTGTCAAACGGCATGGCACTGTAACCTGCGGAGAGAGAGACAGACGGACAGAAGTACTGTAAGTGACAATGTGTGGAAGAAAACGTTATGACAACAAAATAGTTTCTCTTCTATAAATTAGGGTTAGGATTATGGTTTGGGTTTAGGATTACCTCATACTGTACTCTTCTGTAGGTTACTTCATACTATATTCCTCTAAATGTTAATTTATGTTATAGGTTAATTCTATAGGTTCATTCAGAACATCAACTATAGAAGAATTCATACTCTGCTCTTCCACAGGTTAATACAGACTGTACTGTTCTGTAGGTTAGGTAGAGTTCTGTAGGATGTTTCAGGACTATACAGTATTGTGTAGAAACAGTGAAAATGGGGGGGTTACTGATAAGTTCAAGTACCATACATCATCGGTCAAACACTGATTTATCTATTCATTCACTTATCTGTCTTACAACTGCATATCTCAGTACAATTAACTGGTACAAAAGCTTTTTTAAAAATTTCAACATACATCTGACACATTAATTTTCATATCTGCCCCCCCCCCCATATCAGTATAATTTACCCACCCTCCTCGCACCCCCAGTCACTGTCAGAGACACTTGGCTTTGTGAAGGCCAGCCGTGTCCTGGCCTGTTCCTTCTGGGTCTCCAAACAGCTGAACACCGTCCCGCCCTGGGACAGAACCCAAGCCGAGCGTCGGAGAGGTCGGTCTCCGAGCCCACAGTGGCACGGCCTCAGCAGCGCCCCCACCTGGCTGCTACAGTCATTTATTCATTATAACTCCCTGACTCCTTAAAAACAGCCCTCTGCGCAAAACTCATTACAGACCCCAATTTGTCTTGCACTGGCCTCTCAGCGCCAGGGCGGGGCGGCATTATTATAGCGAGCCTGGGGAAGCTGGCACCCCCACATCACACCCCCCCCCACCCCATTAGCTTTGACTTTTTTCCTCGTCCATGTCCCGGGAGCACGAGTTGGGTGTGAACTCTGCAAGGAGGGGGCCGTGAGCTACCATGGGATTCCTCCCACGAATTTCGGAGGGGTGGGACAGAGCGCCCTCACATTACCCTCGGAACTCATTAACTCCCTTATCAAAACGACCAGCTCAGCTTCCAAATACCCTCCACAGGAGGCTGCCATCCACAGCATTAAAGCACATGCCCTGTATCAGGGCCCCCCGCGGAAAATTTGCCAGGGAATTTTTTAAAAAAGTTTTGTCATTAATTTACACTTTAAGCTTATATCAAGATGGAAAATCATGTGAAATATCCTGAAAAGTAAGACAAGCCAGTGGGATCCATTATAGACCTCATGGCCAGTGCAGACTTTTGGCTTTTGAAGAAAAAGCAAGAATAAATATTAGTAACATTTATTTATTCTTCATAAATTTATTTAAATATTTTCCCAATATATGAATAATGTTTATCTGCTTCAAGTCAATTCAAAGTGAAAATTATGAAATAAGAAAAATAGGAAATTGTGGAACTGAATTAAAATATTGGCTCACAAAATTCCCTTTGAGGGAGCAGGGGTGGGGGGGGGGGGCAGGGGGTAGTAGGCAAAACTAAAAAAGTAATTTCCAAAGCAGATCGTATTAAAATTTATGTCTGTTGGCCCTGATAATTACATTTTGAGTTCAATGCTTGTTTCAACATTGCAACAAAAGGGTCGTCTTTCACTTGCTATTGTAAATCTTGAGGAAAAGAAATATTTGCAAGTGTGGTCTCAGAATCATGGGGTCAGATGCAAAGCGAGCAGCTGCCCGGGGTGGGGTCTTATCAGCCCAATAACTCACACACCCACAGACACACACACACACCAACACACCGACAGAGACACACACACACACACACCGACAGAGACACACATGGACACACACACACACACACCGACAGAGACACACACACACCAACACACCGACAGAGACACACACACACCGACAGAGACACACACACACACACACACCGACAGAGACACACACGGACACACACACACTGAGACTGCTCGGACCCCGGTGACCTTCGCTCATTCCCGGCCACTTTTTCCGGTGTTTTCCGAGCCAAGCCCCGCAGGAATGTGATACGGGGGTCACAGTGTGGGGCAGACTGTTGTGATATCGAGGCTTGTTTAATAAAACCTCGTGAAAAACAGCAATTGATTAAGATGTGTGGAAAGTTCCAAAGAACACACACCCATCTCTACAAAGTGCCCCCCCAAGTGAATCCAGATATGGGGGTAAGACCTGTTGGTAGGGGCTAAAAGAAACAGAGGCCAAAAGCTCGGAAACATTTTCATTTCTTGAGAAACACTTTTCCCACAGCCCACCCCCAGGAGGAGCCAGACAGGGGGGCCACTGTACCACAGACAGAAGCCTGATGACTCTCTGGCCCAGAACAGCCTTTTGCACTCATCCCCGTGAGATCACAAGCTGAATACTTCTTGGCTGAATAATTCTCGTAATGGTAATCAACAGCACAATAAACCAGTTGAAGAATCACCTGGTCATCAACCTGCCTTCCAGAACTGAGATTTTCCGTCGTGTCTAAAATGACCATAAAATGAATCCATAAAATTATATGAATATGACAGAAACTGTGGTACTGTGCTCATCTCATTTACAGAAACATACATTTTATATTAAAGTAACACTAAATATCTGATACTGAATTTATCTACTTTTATATGTATTTAGTTATGAGGCTGCTATTGTGTCTTTATTTTATTAGCAATTATTAGCAATTAATTTCACTAAATATATACTCATATTTATTTCTTAATAATACTTTAATGTTACACCTATTAACTGAAGTTATTTCTTGTAGTAAATTAAACTAAACTAAATTATATTTAGTTAGTTTCCGTTTTAGCACTTTAATCTGTTAAAAATTTCACTTTTGATTTTAAAAAGTTAGAAAAATTGTGGTTTTTTTTTTTTATTGAATTTGCATTAGCTGCTGAATGCTGGTCTGTTCGTTTTAAGAGCAATTATTAGTTTTCATAAAAATTTAATTTATAAAAATGTTATTTATGATCTGGTTTGACATCTAAAATGCATAGTGAAAAACCTAACATTGTCTGACAAACGATGCCAATTTAATTAACATGTTATTAAATGTATGTGCTTTTGAAGGCAATTGATAATATTTCACTTCACACACAATATAAAGTGATAGTTATTTTGAGTAAACTCTAAATATATAGATATGATTGAATGATCTTGACGATTCTATGAAAAAAATTCTGGTGAGATGAACAATTAAAAATGTTTGCTCCTAATGGTGCTGAAATATATATTGCACTTTGCTGCTTTCGTTACAGTTTCTGTTTCCTGTTTTGAAATATGATACATCCTTAAAAAGAATGAATGAATGTAACAAAAAGCACAGCAGTGGATTGGGGATCCACTTCTGTGACAATGACACAAGTGTACATTTGCCGTCACAGCAAAACATGGAAACTGTGTAACTGCCACACTCAGGGTTATGTAGCAACAACAACAATAATAATAATGACAACCAGCATCTTAGTCCCTCTAAATGAGTGCCTTGCATCACAGCAGAGTGAGCCAGACTCTTCCAGAAGGGCAATGCCAGGGCACCAAATGTGACATGGTGCAAGGCCTCACCACCTAACCCTAAGTTCGGCGTCAGGATGTCTTACCCTGGTTCCTCGGTGGCGGCTGGCTCTCCATGCAGTTGGGCAGGTATGCTCCATTGGCAAACATCCTGGGCTGGCTGGCCGTGGGCTGCCCCGGTGGAGGGGCGCCAAACGCTCCGTACCGGCAGGCTCCCGTCCCGGTGAACTGACCAGAGAAGTGCACGGTGAAGGCACTGAGGCCGCAGTGCGGTTCCTCGTGTGGCTCGGCCGTGTTCCAGCCTGGCTCCTGCTTGATGAAGGAGTGGGAGGAGAGTGAGCTGTAGGGAGACCCGGCGTGGAAGTCTAAGACGGGAGCCCACTGTGGGGCGCTGCTCACGGGCAGGGCGCAGCTCCCGTTGCCCCCCGGGAGGGTGGGCACCGCTGGCAGCAGAGCATTGAGATCTCGCACATCCGATCCCATCGGGCCTGCTAGAGGTGCCGGGGTTGGCGTACGCCGTAGAAAATAGCCGATTCCTCAGCGATGACAGTGTCCAAAAGCAGCTCGAGCTCAGCAATCAGAGAGAAATTAAGTCCAGGGAACTTTCATAGTCGCTCTGCGGAGCAATTCTTTTAAAAAACCAGAAAACAGACCAAAGGAAAGCAATAGAGTCTGACCGAAGAGCATGTAGCAGCTAAGGTGGTGCAGTGGCCGTGTGCGGCAGAAGCGGCCGTGCGGGCGATGAGGCGAAGTGTGAGAGTGCAGGAGCTGCCTTCAACTTCTTTTCTCATGTGTGTTTTTCTCTGAAGTCCCGAAAGCTCAAATACAGCCTGACTCTGGGGGCAGAAGGCGGAGCCAAGGCCAATGAGCAAGGACGATGACTCCCTCATCACTCCCTCAACGTCCCATCTACACACACCGGCCCGCTGAACCATGAGCAGGAGAGAGTGTTTCTGTATCTGTGTGTGTGTGTGTGTGTGTGTGCATTTGAGTGAGAAAGAGGAAGGGGGGGGGGGGTCATCATAATTCAGCCCTAGTATGCACATCTTTCCATTTACTCCAAGCACAACCAAACTTACTGTTAAACAAGCAATGAGTGCATTCTGACACTGAATTGTAAGTATATTTCATAATGGAAATAATTTCTATGCATTTGGGGGGGAAATCGCAGTATATGTATTTTAATTAAGAAAATAAGTGTTACTGCTACAGCGAACGCTGATGTTTAGTTGCATGATTAGAGTCAAGGGTGCTGCTATTTATGTTAATTTTTTTCCTTGTGCTACAGATTTATGATGACTTGCGTTGTCCAATTTCATGCCATTCTCATTCGAACAACAGAAAGACTGAAGCAGATACCACAGGCTCTAAACGGTAAAATGTACGTATGTATATGCTTGCAATATTAAAATGTTTTTCTCTGGGTACCTTATATAAACGGAAAACACGATAACTACGTATTTGGAGAATAACAGAAATCCGTTAAGTACTTAAATAATAACCAACTGACATACATTTCAAAGTCATATAACTGAGACTAAGAATATCGAAATTTGTACTTTTTTATATATTTTCCTTTTCTGAGCATACAGCTAGCTATAACAAATGGTAGAAACAAAATGAGAGGCGAGCGCTTAACTCTGGATGTCGAGCAACTCCATTAACATTCCCGCGGACCCGGCGCATTCACACGCTCCATCACTGTCTGCACAGGCTCCACTGCGCGCCGACCGCAGCTCCGGGCCGCCTGATGTCACGCCTGACATAAAACGTGCCTAAAGGCAATTATTGTTCATAACTTCAATTACTTCACAATGAATAGACGCCGATAAACTAAATAAATAAATAGATAGATAGATAAATAAAAGCGTGTCAAGGGTTTATTTATATATGCAAAAGTAGTGGTCTAAAATTATATAGGCTAATTTTAAATATTTCATTGTACTCAGTAAAAAATAACTAATATAAAAATGAAGACGATTTTAGATTTAAAAAATTCTTTTGGAATTTAATTTTTAATGCTTTTGAAAAAAATCGTCTCAACATTTTTATACATTAGCGACAGCAGTACTAATCAAAATAACAGCGTTTAAACTATAAACGCATAATAATAATAATAATAATAATAACAATAATAATAATAATAGGCCTAATAATAAGAATATAAAATGCAAATAAACATTCGATATTTTTTATCATGTCGGAGGTGAATCAGATATATATCAGATCTATAGATATATATATCAAATATCGAAAATATATCTTCTAGTTGATTACTCGCGTTTTCGATGTACAGTACACAGAAAATTCTGTACAAATTTAGGAAGGGCAATATCTTTGCTGATAATAATTATTAATAGCCACAGTATATAGCTATAGTATAAAAAGTAATGGTGATGATTTTACAAGTATAACTACGCAGGTTAATTATAATCCTGTTGTCTGAAACAAATCTTGAACAATAGATAGATTTTCGTTCAAAAACGTCTTTTAAGAAAACGCTCAGTAAAAAAAATTGTACGACTTAAAACTCCTCAACGGGGTAATAAAAATTATTAACATGAAAAAAAATTTACGCAAGAGAAGGCGACATTCTAATTTTATACACGATATACATATATAATTTACAACCATACCTTACTAATAATTTGAAATATTCTTCAATATATATATTATCAACTTTAATTAAAGCAAACTAATTATGCGAAAATAAAATAACAAAAAGGTATGATTATTTTGCTATTTTAACAGGTATGCAGTCTGGGACGGCTGTACAAATGTGTAAAATCAAATTCTTCAAATTTCTCTTTATTTTGTATGTAGACTATAGAAATGTATGTTTACCGAGCAAGTATACAGTCATTGTCAATAATATGCAATCTTTATATCAAACATTGTTACAAGAGAAAACTAAAGGAATACGTTTTCGAAAGTAATACATTTTAATAGAATTGTAAGGTAAATATTAAAGTTTTACCACAATAGACTACGATGTTCTTTTAATACGACCCACTTTCCCGTATATTACATTTTGGCACCTGCTCCTCAGTGGAAAGTGTATAGTTAATGCTGATTAATGTGCTTCGGCATAAGACAAAGTGTATTTTGAATACACTTAAATCAAATCGCTTATTAAATACCACAACGGCACTTCGTAAAATGATCACCGGCAGCTCTGCATGCACTTCAAGGTGGCCTGTCTGTATTCGGCAAAGGGATGTATTAGCGGAATCAGATGCGCAATGTCCATCGCTTTTTCTTTTATTTGCTGGTTATTTGGTTTGTTTTGCATTGTGATTTCAAAGCAATATTCCCTTCTATCTGTATATCTGATCAAGGCCAAAATCACAAACATAAAAGCACGGGCACAATGCGACTGACGCGATATCTGTCACCTACACTCAAAATGAAAGACACAGTGTAACATACATTTCAGGTCTAGGTGACAATTTCAGTCTGATTGGACTGGTTGAATTTCACTTTTTAGCAGAAAAGAGCCATTAATATGCACTACTGCTTCTACTGCAAAGCCCTCAATTAGCTGTCAGAAGATGCAGGAAGTCCATACTTTCCTAGTCATGCATATTTCATAGTCAAAGGGGCGAATCATGTGACGTTGCACGTGCCGCGTGCCGAGTTAGGCCGACACATTACGGGAAGGAACGGCATGCAGAGTTGTGGGTAATTGCTCTGCTGCACAGCCAGTTTTGTGAGGATGGCATGAGTGTATTACTGCAGATTCAGGAGCTTTAGCATTACCCAGTTTCTGTTTAGGGCTTTGAGCGCCTTACAACCGGGGTGAAAGCAGTCAGGGAGCCAGCCGTCTGGCAGGTGCTATGTATGCGATCTTAAACACATCAAATGGACACAGTAATAAATAGTGGGCGGGGGGGGGGCATGGCTTTGGCCCATAGCAGGATGATGAGGAATTCTGGGGGGGGTGATCATCAAAACACACTGGAAAACACGGGAGGGTTCCTGCCTAGCAAATCATCAGAGAAATACAGCAAGCAGATTTTGCGTCCATGTGCGTGTTAGGAAGCTCTTTAGGCTGAGGACAGAATGGCTGTTTTTGCTTCTAGCATTGAATGACAGAAGGATGAACAGCTAAGGTACCATGTCCAGCTAAATGCATGTGAGCCATGCAAATTTCAAAGCATGTGTATATTAAATTACACAAAGTGATCTAGGCACTTTCGTTCTCAGAAAGTCAAAGGATTGTCAAAATTACAGACATATTTTCAAGACAATAAACTATTTGGCCCCAAATGTTAGCAAACATTTTGTTTAAGCAACAACAAACAAACAAAAAAAAATCTGAATACATAATCAATAAATGCAAATATTGTTTTGCCACTGATAGCCGGATATTTTTATAAAAGTATAATTTGCAAAGCACAGACAAACTGCTAAAGATCAATGACATATTTTTAACAAAGCTTATTTTCTATAATTTCTTCTGTCCAAAACCAAGTGAGGTGTTTATTTTGCAGTCTTTATCACTACTTTTATTTTATTGTGACACACACCTCCTTTCCTGCTGATGATGCAAAGAAAATTAAACACAAACAATGCTTACTTATTTACTTAGCAAATCAACAGAAACAATTTAGTGTGTATGTCTACTATAGTAAACGTGAGGAGCAAACATAAGGGTAACAGACTCAAAGCATTCTCTGAACACTCTTCATGTAACTACAGATTGGTTTGGGCTCCATAAAACATTGATATTTTAACAATACCTACAGATTAAGAAGAATAACCAGAATCAATATAATAATTGTAGTATCTAATATCATGATTATAGGAATATTATTTGGAATGTTTAGGACACTATCCTTATGTCTTTGTTTACTCGTAAAACACAAGACACACACACATGCACACACTCATACACAATCACACATTCATACACACACACACTAACACACACATTAATACACATGCACACACACTCATACACACACACGCACACACTCATACACACTCACACACTAACACAGACACACACAAATACACATACACTCACACAGTCATACACACTCACACGTACACACACACACACACACACACATGTACACATACACACACACTCATACACACTCACACACATACACACTTCCACACGTACACATACACACACACTCATACACACTCACACACATACACACTCACACACGTACACACACACACACATACACACACACACACGTACACATACACACACATCCTCCCATGTTCAGTGTAAATCGTCGTCATCCTGGAACCAATTAGTAAGGATGTGTCTCAATTTGTTCTGTGTTTAGGCCGCAGTGGCCCGCAGCTCAGCCTGCGCGGGGTGCAGATATGCGGTGCGCATGAAATTGATGAGCTGAGAGCTGCCGCTGCGCTGTCGAATGCACCATCTGGAATTCCAGTCTGGGCTTCTGCTGAAAGCTACTGACCCAGGATTCAACTTTCTAACTCATGGAAGGGAGCAAGAGAAGAAAAAGGCTGTCATGTCAGAGAAGCCACTGTGTCAAAGTCCTTTATCTTGCCATTGGCTGGGGAATTAAAGAATCATTTGGAGAAAGTCCATTTCTTGGCTGGACTGGGGGGTACATAAAGATACTGAGTGATGAAAAACAAAATAAGGTCCTTTCACCTGGACTCGTGTGCTAAATCACCACAGTGGGAAATCAGACAACAGGACAGAGGCCTTTACATTTACTAATGTCTCAAACAGCATCCTCACGCTCCCGGATTCTGTGTGCCGTATTGCACTGCAAAAATCTCTCTTGATCAGCTAGTGCAGAACGAGAATAAATATCTCCTAACAACAGATCCTGATGTAGCTGGATGTTTTCAAAGGGGTGAGCTGTGTATCACCAAGTATACAGCAGGGGGGTCTTATTTTTAAGTGTCTGACATGTGGCTCTGCGACAGTACTTTTCATTTTAGCCTAAAATGAAGAATCTGAGGAGAATGGCGATCTTACTCACATGGCGGAGAAGATGAACACCTCTGTTTTAACCAGTAAACATACATGCTCTGTGCCCACTGTTTATACTAACTTTCTGTATAGTCATTTAATCTGTGATTCAAGTACTTATATATTTATATAAAAGTAATTTAAACCTTGAAGATTTAAATGTTGCCAAGGTACTTCTTCTTGTTATACTCATATGTCTTAAATTTTATGACACTTTTTAAACCCCACTGTCAGAAACAATGAAACATACATTACACGAAGGTGGTGATCCAATCTGGTGCCTAAAATCCCTTTTTTTTTTGTTCACTTTCTTTTTTCAATTTATTCCTTTCATGATTGCTGTCACTAAAAAAATAAACAGCACCGTGAATGACACTAGTAGTAACGTCAATTGAATTAATCTTCAGATGTTGAAAGTTTAATGTGTGTTCCGGCGGAGGAGCCCGGGCTTGGAATAACAAAAGTTCCGGGTCCCTTCGGTAACCCTGCTCCTCGTCCTGGAAAAGGGCACACAGGCTCCCCGTGTCCCACAGGAACACAGAGGCATTCAGTAGATGTCTGATGAGGCATTTTTAAATAATAGCAGAGAAAAATAATGACTCCCTTGGCTGTTATAATGCATTTTTCCCCCACAAACAACAAATTGTCTTAAAATAAAACCTGACTGTGCTTTGCCCAAGAGGTCTCCAAAAGAAGTGATCTGACTGACCTGAAAAATATGTAAGTTATCTACCATCAGTAATTTTATTTAATCAGATTTTCTTTATGATTGACACCCAAACTGCTACATTCATTCCGCCTGTTGATCTATTTTATCCAAAAGCCCCTGTTTTTTCTGATCGATCTTTGGATAACTCAGAGTTTAAAATAACAGTCCTTACATAAAGAAGAACGTCAAGCCTTTATTATCCCAAATGTTTGCAGAGTGAAGGGCCACAGAGGGGCCACAGGATCAAGACTGCAGAGGAAAGGGCCATAGAGGAAAGGGCCACAGAGGGAAGGGCCACAGAGGGAAGGGCCACAGAGGGGTCACAGGATCAAGACTGCAGAGGAAAGGGCCACAGAGGGAAGGGCCACAGAGGGGCCACAGAGGGAAGGGCCACAGAGGACAGGGCCACAGAGGGAAGGGCCACAGAGGGGTCACAGGATCAAGACTGCAGAGGAAGGGGCCACAGAGGAAAGGGCCACAGGATCAAGACTGCAGAGGAAGGGGCCACAGAGGAAAGGCTGTCGAAGAAAGAATCACAGAGGAAAGGACCACAGCGGAAAGGGCCTCATAGGGGCCACGGGAGAAAGGGCGACAGAGGGATGCTGTGTTTGAGGCAACTTGTTGCTCCTTGAGGACAGATGGCACCCGATGAAATGATTTATTGTAAGTTTTTTTGCAGGTGGGACAGAACAGCATAGCAAGCAGAAGGCATGTATGAGGGGGATACCCAATGGTGGGTGATATCGGAGGGGGTATGTAGCAGTGGGGGGAGTGCATCATGTGAAGGGATCTGTCTTGGGGGGGTGTATCAGTGGGAGGATGTATTGTTTGGGGGATCTATTCTGGGCAGGTGTATCAGTGGGGGATTTATTGTGAAGGGGTGTATCATGTGAAGGGATCTATTGTATCAGTGGGAGATCTATATATTGTTAGGTGGGATCTATCCTGGGGAGTGTATTGGTGCAGGGGTGGGGGGTGACAGGCTGTTCCTGAAAAACGTCCACAGATGTGCAGGCAGTTTAATCACAGTGCCTCCTTATCGTCAAACTGCATACAATGTAAAAACGTTGGTGCTCAGCCTGAGCGTGAACAACGACGCCTCTGTTCACACGTGAGCGAGCGCAGGACACGGCAGCCAGCCGGCAGATTACGCTTATCCTGCCCCCCAGCACATTCATGGTCCTCACTCCACAGTAAATGGGGCATAAGCACTGTAGATAAAGGGGGGGGGGCATACTTGTGTGAAATGAAGCCTCTTTTTGTTCGGGTCTTTGAGATGGGCCCGTGTGACGATGGAGCCCGGGTCACTCCCTCAGCCGACACAGATCCCGTAACGAGGAGGAGCAGCCAGCACACAGGAAACAGGTCCGGGCCCTCGGCCTTCAAGGGCCGCATCCTGACCGACTCTGAGGAGCAAGCAGCCCTCAGAGGACACAGGCTCCAGCCAAACAGCACTGAGCACCACTGGTACAGCCCACTTTGGATATAGATATACTCACATTTATTCACTTATTAACAGCAAATTACATGTTCATAAAAGTAAAAATTAAATTTAATATCAACAGCTCTAATTAAACCAATAAGTCTGTGTCACACCAGCTGACGTTCTTTATAACATAATGAAGCAACTCAACTCAGCCACAAGCCAAACTTCTCAACAGACCCAATGGCAACATATAACAACCGAAAAAGTGAGAGAAGACTTGAGTTTGAATATCCAATTGAAAGGCACAGTGGATAGAAAAAGGGGAAAAAAATTAAAATTAAATCATTCACATGGGACAGTGTTGGTTGCCTGGGCAGATATAAACTCCATTACCTACAAATGGAAAATAGGCACATCAAAAATCTGGATAATTTCTTCAGAAATAATACTTTACACTTACTAATGAAACTTCATAAATAACCCACAGGAAAGTTATATTTGAGTTATAAATTTTGAAGTTATCAGTTAATTTATCCATCAGAGAATTTGGTGATTTTGACCCAGAGCTCAGACAGACAAAGGAGTCGTTGAAAATGCAAAGTTCAGCATGGAGTTTTATAACAATATGGGATAGAATGGTACATTAGGGAAAGATAAAACCTCTCTGTAAAACACACTCTAAAGTATTTCAAAAACTGGCTTCTCTTCAAAAGGCTGAGCAGGGAGATACTCTGTATTAAACGGGATGTGGGAAGCCATCCAGCGTTAGCTAAACAGAGCAGCGCTCGGCAGCGAGGCAGATAGCGGATAGCAAGCGCACCAGAGTGGTACCACCAGCTGCAGAGCTATTAATTAGAGCACCTCAGCATTCTGCACCGATGACCTTGGAGACGTGGTAAGAGCAGAACACCAAATTCCTTATAGGTTACCATCAGTAAATCTTTGGTTCAGGGCCGCGACCCCAGAACATACTGACCGTGTGTCTCGTTTGACAGACTGGTTGCATGGACTCTTTGGGAGGTGTTAAAACCAGTTTGACAGTTTTTGGACAGAGGCCTCAGAACCCCTCTGGTCTGCAAACAGTGTGCAGTAAAACATCTAGAAAGAGCAAGAAAATGGCAACTTCTATACCCTTGGAACACACAATCAATCTTTTGAAGATAAATATTTCAGCCTTCACTAGTTTATAGGGATGAAAACTCAAGAGAGGCTGGCCAGGATCCAAAAGTCAGCAGGAATGATGTTTCTGCAGGACATGTCTGTGAAGATAGCATCTCCACATTTGAGTACTATGCCATTGCTTTAGTAGAAATCAAATAGCAGGCCTACAAATCACAGCAGGGTGCTTATCTCCTTCCTGACAGAGAGTCCCGCACTTTACGCCAAGGAAGATGTCAAACTTGTTTTCGGTTAAGGGATCAAACTCTGGCCATAATAAAGGAGAAAAAGGTACCGCTTTGCTAAAAATGTTACAGTGTTTGAATGAAAAAAGAAATTTCCCAGCCAAGGACACGGACTCACTCATGTGTTCACGGTCAAGTCTTTGTGGCTTTGCCACTGCGAGCCGGATCTTGCATGTAAGTAAGTAACCCTGATAACTGCTGTCAGCTGCTGAGCAGAATCAGAGCATCTGCAGGTGGCTCTGAGTCATGCTGCCGGCTTGTAGCTGGAGGCGGAGCCTGGGCACCAGCCCCCCAGGGACTGCCCCCACCAAGGGGATTTCATTGAGAGCTTCATCACACAAATTTATATCAGCTTACCGATAAAAATTATTCATAGACCAAAGTTATTGTTTCTTTTCTATCTGGACTTGACTTAATAACATGGAAATGCAGTGTCACACACTGAGCAATAAATCTTCAAGCCCAGCTATAAAATTCTTTAACATTATTATTTTTCTAAAAATCAGTTTGATGCAAGCCATAATAATTTCTTGCAGTCAAAGAAATGACTACTCACTCTTTCTATTTTATACATAGACTGCCACACACTATTATATAATTATTTCCTTTTATACACTGGAGTGTAAGAATTTTGAACAGCAGGGCTTCTTTCTAACAATACTTTATTTCAGAAAACAGCAGCTATGCGGATGAGTGCTGTGCCATCTCGTTTGGAGCCACAGGCTTTAGTTAGTGAGCAACAATGATTTAAACACTCTCCAAATACTGGAAAGCAATCTGTCATCCTGCAGCCAACTGTGATTCATCTCAGCGATTGGTCCACTCCAAGCTGCGGCATCCAAATTCCTGAAATGTCGTGGCTCTCGCTCTGCAGGTTAAGATAAAAACACATTCCTCCATTAAATCATTGACATTTAACGTAACATAGGTTTCTGTTCAGTGTATAAAAAGTAGCTTTTTTAGTATCCGTGACATAAAAGATGTAACAGAATGTAAAGTTTTTGTTTAGTATGTTTCTGTAGTTGTGGTCAATCTATGATTTAAATTGTGCCTTTCTGTAAATTCTTTGCATTAAAAAAATGTGCAGTTGCATCTCAAAAGACATTAAACAGAATTCCAGCTGCAGTTTCTATGATTGCACAAATAAACAATATATTTCTTATCATATCACAGAATGAATGAATGCACAGAGGCACCAGCAAGGCAGGAACTGCTATTTTCCATCTAAATACCTTTGCCTTCATTAAAAGACCCCCCTCTCTCTTTCTCTCTCTCTCTCTGTACACACACACACACATACACACACTATTGTTCAAAAGTTTGAGGTCACTTAGAAATTTCCTTGCTTTTGAAAACATCCCTTGTGAAGCTGAAAAACTTTGAAAAGTTTTTTGTCCATTAAAATAACATCAGATTGATCAGGAATACTGTGCATACATTGTTATTGTTGTAAATTACTATCATAGCTGGAAACGGCTGTTTTTTAATGGAATATCTGAATTAGTGTATAGAGGCCCATTATCCGCAACAATTAGTCCTGTGTTCCAGTGGAATGTCATGTTTACTAATGCAAGTTTATCATTTTAAAAGGTTAATTGATCATTAGAAAACCCTTCTGCAATTATGTTAGCACAGATGAAAATGGTTGTGCTGATTGAAGAAGCAATAAAACTGGCCTTCTTTGGACTAAATGAGTATCTGGAGCATCAGCAAGTTTAGGTTCAATAACAAGCTCAAAATGATCAGAAACAAAGAACTTTCTTCTGAAACTCATCAGGCTATTCTTGTTCTGAGAAATGAAGGCTATTCCATACGAGAAATTTTCAGGAAACTGAAGATGTACAATGTGTGCTACTCCCTTCACACAGCAGCGGAAACTGGCTCTTACTACAATAGGAAGAGGAGAGGGAGGCCCCGGGGCACAACTGAGCGAGAGGATAAATATATTAGTGTGTAGTTTGAGAAACAGACCCTTCATAGGTCTTCAACTGGCAGCTTCACTAGGTAGCACCCGCAAAAGACCAGTCTCAACATCAACAGTGAAGAGGCAACCCCTGCATGCTGGCCTTCTAGGCAGAATTGCAAAGAAAAAGCCACAGAATCTCAGAATGACCAATAAAAAAGACTGCGATGGGCAAATGAACACAGACAGTGGACAGAAGAAGACTGGAAAAAAAGTGCTGTGGATAGATGAATCTAAGTTTGAGGTGTTCGGATCACAAAGAAGAATGTTTGTAAGATGCAGATCAAATGAAAAGACGCTGGAGGAGTGCTCAACGACATCTGTCAAGCATCGTGGAGGCAATGTGATGGTCTGAGGCTGCTTTGGTGACAGTAAAGTGGGAGGTTTGTACAGGATAAAAGAGATCTTGGAGAAGAAAGGCTGTCACTCCATTTTGCAAGGCCATGCCATACCCTGTGGACGGTGCTTGATTGGAGCCAATTTCATCCAACAGAACAATAACCCAAAAACAGCTCCAAATGATGTAAGAACTATTTAAGGAAGTAGTAGTCAGCTGGTATTCTGTGTATAATGGAGAGGCAGCACAGTCCCTGGATGTCAACTCTACTGAGCTGTGATGGGAGCAGCTTGACCGAATGGTACGTAAGAAGTGCTCATCAAGCCAATCCAACTTGTGGAAGATGCTTCAGGAAGCAGTGGGTGAAATCTCATCAGATTACCTCAACAAACTGACATCTAGACTCCCCAAGGTATGCAAGGCTGCATGTGTAACAGCTGCAAACGGAGGACTATTTCATGAAAGCAAAGATTGAAGAAATGAATTATTAATTTAATTTTAAAAATTATTTCAAATTTTGCCAATCGCTATCTCCTATTTATTTAGCTATATTTTTAATCAAAGTAATTTCTTGTATGTTTTCATAGAAAACAAGGAAATTTCTGTCACCCCAAAGTTTTGAGCAGTAATGTATGTTTCTATATATATATATATATATATATATATATATATATATATATATATATATATAGCAATTTTGATACATTGATTGATTAACACTGAAAATCTGCTGTTCAAGAAACTTCCTTCGTAACTCTCCCATTCATAACTCACCCAATGAGAGCAAAACAAACAAGGTGGAGGATTGCAAATGCAGGAATGCATTTCACAGTCACACATTAGGAGGGAGGGAGGCAAGTCACCACTCTGCGGTGCTTTGAGAGAAAACATCTACTCAGCCATTGTTATTGGGTAGAAAATTAGAGAAATATTGCTCTGTACATGCTCCATAAGAGCTCTGCCATATCCAGGCCGTGTCACAAAGTGTACTGGAGGAAGCGAAAGCACCTGCAGGGTTTGCTGGTTCCTCACCATTAATCCTCACCCACCCGGGCCTGTTAGGTTCCTTCCACACGCAGCATACCGGCCGCTCACTCAGATGGAGCATCTTCTGATGAAATCCTCCGTGCATGATGGGAACCTGGAGACCAGGGCCATGCCAATGAAAAACGACACCCACTCAGCTAATTGGGAGGCGGTGGAGTGCAGGCAGAGCAATTGTGGGAAACAGAGAGCCTGAGGCCCGTCGTGGAACCCCAAGAACGGTATGGACAGTCCGGCCAGCTCACCTCCTTTCACCATTTGCCCATTTCAGGACTTTTTTCAGGTTTTTAAAGCAAACATTATGCCCCTTGTCCTCCCCCATTATCACAGCTTGGCTTGGTGTCTTTTTTGGTCAAATAATATTTGATCAATGATATTTATATATTTTACAATAAGAAAAGAGTCATCATGCATGTTCAGTGTTCCACGTTGAAAATAAGGAACACAGCACTTTCACACTTCTTCTCACTTTCTCACGATTCACAAAGCCGAGGCCACATGCTCCACAGACCTCAGTATGTTCTAATAAAATATGACCAAATGAGCTGAGAGCTGGTCAGTTTTACCAATGTCATCTGCCCATGTTTTTGGTCTCACGGGACCTCAGAGTGTCAACTGCATGTAGCGGTGCTTGTAACATCTTCCTTGCTGCAGACTGGCCATCCAGGGTCAATCCCTGGCCTAGGAAGCAAGAGACCGCGGAGTCCCAGTGACATCAGGAGGCCCGACTGACCCATTAATCAACCGGGGGCAGTCAAGGGTCGCTGGGTGAAACTAATGATGCGCATGAGTAGGGCGACATGGGGAGCACAAAGAGTCTACCCCCCCACCCCTGTCGTCTCATGGTGACAAAGAAAACAGCGCATCATTCTTATCTAAATGGCGTTATGAGCCTGTATGCCCAGCTTGGCACCCATGAGTCGTGATCTCAGGTCTTTTTCAATATGACAGAACATTCGCCCCATTTTCCATTTTATTCATGTAAAATGAATAAACAGAAGAACAATAAAAGGACCATCCGCAGTCACTGAACTGCAAGAGTGCGAAGCATGACATCAACATAAGACGCAATATATCACAGAACTCACCAATCCTGTAGGTTTACCACAAAACAGGGTGACACACACATCTTTTCAGATGTGTGTGTTACCCTGGATTTCTGGCTTCCTACTGAGGAATACTCATCTGACAAACCCCATACTACAACATTACCTCATAAGAACAGGGAGGTGATGGGGTGACATATACGTAACTTCCAGTGACACACATGAAGGCACATTCTAGTATGATGGCTGTACGCAGTAAACCGACAGCCTGAGGCAGACACTCCGACACTCTGAAAGAACTGGGACAAAGCAAAGACTTTTCCTTTCCACCATATACAAAATTGCTTTGATTTACTTCTGAGTCAAACTAAAAAAGACTCAGACTAAGGTCACATTTAACAGAGGTTTTATGTCATTATCAATATATTTTGTCTCAAGGTAATTTTAAGTTCACGAGCATAAAATGTTGTCAAGGAAATCTGATACACCTTACACTGTATATAGCCTCCAGAAATTTCAGACATTTTTCACTGACTCCAAAGGCATTAAAACAATGGCTGTGTACCAAGTGACAAGCACCTGGAGCTACAAATAAAAGCCTCTTTTCAGTTAAATATAAGGTCACTTGACAACAGCGGATAATATCACTTTATGAAATACTTTATGTTATATAAGCAAACCATCATAAATTTCCATATATAACATGCTTAACATCAAAGCACCAGCGAAATTGCTCACGCAGCTTGCTAGTCCTGCCAGATACGCATAGTGCAAAGCACTTCTCTGCATCATCTTTACATTCCGTTTAGATTTCATCCCATTGAACTCAAAAGTAAGCAGTTCTCCCTCAATGCTACTTAAAAACACTATCATTACAATCACTACAATCTTTAGAAGTCACAGTGACAGAAGTTCAGGCATTCTTTATCAGTATTGTTGCAGAGTTACTTCCTTAGTAATGTTTTGGTATAGCAAAAGGAATGTGTTCTCAGTTTTTGAGGACTTGTTTATGAACAAGAGTGTAGAGCAAGCAGTGGAAATGGGAGGTAAGGAGTGCTGCGCCAATTCATATGATGGCTTTCTTCAATTCAGCACTGTCATTGTCACAATCAACAGTCAAAAATTTACAACCAATTGCTGGTTGTTTCCCAGCCTTCTTTACTGTCAGATGTGGGTCTATTTATTTAGAATGCATGTGGCAATTATTGTAAATAATCGTGTTTTAACTGGAGCCTTCCAAGTTTACATTAAAAACAAATTAATTATGCAAAAACAACACTGTGAAAAATCTAAATGGCTACTATAAATGTGTTTGGCTTTTCGAGGCTCCATTTCCAGGTGCAAAAGCAAACTGCAGGCCAAATATAACATTGGAATTCTTCCAAAGTGCCTTTTGATGTTATAATAATGGAATTCATCCTGCTAATTTCCACTATTTTTGAAAATTCATGTATTTTTTAGCCAGTATAGTAAAAGTGAATCTAAAATTGTAGATCATCTGAAGAAACTGCCCTCAAAACATTACTTTACCAGATCTAGAATTGTCTCAGAAAGCTCATGGGAATTAAATGAATAAACACTTCCTGTTGTTCCAAAAAGGTTGATTTAAGCAATGTAGAGCAGACAGCTTGGGGATATTATTAGGAACAAGGTTATTTATCTCAAATTTGACTTTAGTCTACTTGTACAGCAGATGAAGATTGCTACCAAAGATTGTGATTCTTTATATTAATTCTCCCATAAATGAATCGTTTTATTATTACACTTCCTGACAAGAGAAGAAAAAAATGCAATTGCAGTTTTAACTTAATCATCCTAAATAACAGTAAAAATAACATTTGATTCCTTTACTTCCTGAAGAACCCGTAACGTTGAACCTAAGAAAAAAACAGTCATTAAACAATAGAATTAGGCCGCGGAACTGAAATGTCATAACGTAACAAACCATGGGGTCATTTCTATCACAAAGCACTTAAGTCAAAAAAGTGCTTAAAAAGATATGTGCGTTTGAGCTACGCATACTCTCCCCTTATCAGCATGCACACGCCCACCACACTTAACCTGAAAAAGATGCTGTGGCCGGGCAAGAAGTATAATAATAACCAATGATTCTTGCAACAAGCAAAATGTGGAACATGGACTTTTCACTAACATTGTGAACCTAACTGAAATCCACAAAACCCTATTATTTGGAAATTGAAAGCATAGATGTAGCGTACTATATGGTTATATTTGGGTGTTCTCACAAATTGTGAGAATCCTTTGACAAAAACAAAATGTTACAGTGAAATACAGTGTTTGAATTGTGTGCAGTAAATTAAAATGATGTAATTTATAACACTGATTTAATGATTCATCAGCCATTTTCCCCAAATAGGGTTTTAAGATCAAAAAACACAAAACTAGTTAAAATGTTTTTAAATCTTTCAACTTTGCTACTAATAGATAATCAATGAGTATAGTAAGACGTACGTTAATTTCTTCAGTTTTCTTGTATTGTCTATTGTTTTACTCTACAACCGATTAACTACAAGAGGCAAAATCAACATTTAAGGGCTACAATTAATAAAAATAACATATAAAACCTCAAGAATAAAGTCGTAATTTTCAAGAATAAAGTTGTAATTTGTGAGAATAAAGTCAGAATAATTCATGAATAAAGTTATAAAAGTCATAATTTTTTGGAATAACACCAAAGGCCACACTCCAGCAGTTACAAAAATGGATGGATGGATGGATGGATGGATGGATGGATGGATGGCCGCACCCCAAAAAAGTGACTTTTATCTTGTGACTTTTATCTTGTGACTTTATTCTCACACTTTCTCACGCAGAGCACCATTAGCACAGAAGCCTAATACAATGGCAGGGCAGGCACTTAAATACACAGAAAACTGGGGCAAACAAGGAACAGGTGTAAGACAATCAATTAACCAATCAACAAACACTGGCACAAGGAAACGGGCAACAGGTGGAACTAATAACTAATGGGCACAGAAACTAGGGAGCTTTACAAATACCAAAAACTAGGTAACATTAACTGGGAATTAAACACCGGGAATAAAATGCAAGGATAATCAAACAGAACCAGAAAGGAACAGAACACAAGTACAACCAAGGGCAAGAAAACTAATATAGAAAATAGACACTGAAAAACAAAATTCAAGAAATATAAACAGACAAAGTTAGTTCAAAGGCAGCTTCAAACCCCTGATCAGCATGCCTGAACCACACATTCAGCCTATTGAGCTATATGGCAGTCAGGGAAACAAGAGAAAATACACAAGGATGTGATGAGGAGTGACAGGACGGGATGGCCAGCGACACCTGCTGGCCAAACAAGGAAGAAACACGAAGGGTACAGGTGCTGACCCTGACATGTGTCTGCATTCCATTGGTGTTGGATATAGGGGGATCATGTCCACTCCAATATCAGCAGAACCCCCTCCCCTTCCTTCCCAATCAATAAATAAAAACATAATTAACAGCACGTTGTTTATCTTTCATTATGAATCCACCCATTACTAAGGCCAGTTCACTGCGCATTCAGAGGACAAGGATGAAACCTAACAAAGATTGTAGTCATGAATCAAACAAAATCATTTTAACCTATGGATCAATTTTTTTTAGTTAAGTGATATTTGGTTATAAAACTGTAGCCTTAACTACGTTAATCTTATTTTAAATGAGCAATATGAGCTGACAACAGCGATAAGAGACAGCTAAGAGAGACTCAGGCCAACCTTATGAAAGAATGGAAGATATACTTAACTAAGAACGTTTCGGGAAAAATGTCCAAGCGTTAAGAAACAACTTAAGGTAGAACTTACCAAAGACTTACCGTTAGGAAGGTTTCGGGAAACCCACCCTTTCACTTGGTTGCTTGAAGACTAACCCAGACTAATTTTATTATTCAAGCACCGTGCCATAAGACAGGGAACAAAAAGAAGGGCTTCAAACCATACATTTGAAGCAGAAACAGAGTTAGACTTTCTCCATATCCTAGGGTACCAGATCACATTATCCATCTTAGGACCTAAAATGCCTGAAATGTCCGGGATTTGTTTTGTTTTATGTTTACATTTGCTTTATACTAGGGATGGGCACATTTTTCCTTATCCATTTTTTCCAACTATATCGATATAATTGAAAAATGTGTGTAAAGAATTCTGTTTTCATTGGGTCAAACTTCATTATTGGATTAAAAAAAACAAACAAATCCATTTTCCCCTTGCATTAGGCTACTCTGATAAGCACATTCCGCCAAAACATAACACAGATGCCTTGTACAAGAAGGGGCAAAGCCGTCTCCACCTGCTGAGGAGGCTGAGGTCCTTTGGTGTGTGTAGGAAAAAAGACCTTTTACGACACTATAGTAGCATCTGCTATATTCTTCGCGGTGGTCTGCTAGGGGTGTAGGAGCTCAGGAAGGGACAGGAAGAGACTGAACAAGCTGGTCAGGAGCGCTGGCTCTGTCCTGGGCTGCTCTTTGGACTCCACTGAGGAGGTGGCTGAGAGGAGGATGCTGGCCAAGTTTACATCCATTATGGTCAGTCCCACTCACCCCCTGCATAACACAGTGAGGACATTACGAAGCTCCTTCAGCAACAGACTACTGCATCCAACATGCAAGAAGGAACGCTTCCGCAGGTCCTTCATTCCATCTGCCAACAGACTTTATAACACCTCAGTCACCTATAGTTCATAAATTATGTCACTATTCTGTATATTGTGTAATGTCTGCTGCATGGGCAGACATCTATCTATCTATCTATCTATCTAATCCATAGCAAAGTAATCATGCTTGTGTTTCTTGCTGAAAGTGAGTAAACTGGTTACTGTTTCAGTTCATCTTCCAGACAGCGATCGTTCTTAATTCCCCTATATGGCAATGACAGCATACCTTTCTGTCTTTTTTATGATTCTTATTGTTATTATTAAACTCCATCATTTAGTCTTTGGGCATCGTTTATGTTCATTATAAAATAATGAATACTACCGATGCGCTGTTTATTTGGGAAACATTTTCTGCTACTGTTTCAACTGGGGAAAATAAAAGGTGAAAAGAAAGCCTTATTTGTGTATTCAGTAATTTTGCACTCGTGTCATGATAAAAGTGGCTTTCACCTGCTAATCTCGCTATAGATTGTAACGTGCTCTGCGCGGTATCCCTGCCCTGTAACATAGAAACGCAGATTTTACAAACACATGTGAACCAAATATTAGACATTGTAGGCTGTACACAACTGTTTGAAGGGCATTTTTAACAAATAACATTACCTACGCTTGCAAAATACGCTATATACACATATTTTCATTCATGATCATGTGTTTAGATATTATCAATAATCTTGATATTTTTCCGGCAATAATCCACGATGCACATATAGCCTATTCAGATAAGGCTATCGGCCCAACCCTACTTTGTACATTTAGAATATTTTCTGTTGATATTCGCGTTACTTTGACTCTTGCTTTGCGTGTTCCGTGATGTCTAATTGCAAGGCTGAAATTCCGTCATAGTCTCTTTCCCGTCATTTAAATTTTCGTTTTAATAAGACGTCATTTAATTTTCATTCAGTCATTTTTATTTTTAATGATTATTATAGCCTACATGCTTATATATTATGTATTTATAAGGGCATGCAGGGAAATATTGAACAGAGATATTGAACGTGCAATCATTTCATGTTAATACCACACAAAGAAGATGAATGATTTTTTTCCCCGCAGTGACAGCAGAGGCCACTAAAAACTTCGGTCATTGCGAAACATGAACAATGCAGTTTTACAGAATTAGACAATTACAATTCAAATAGCCTATGAACAAATCATTTTGCCCAGTAACATTAGCTGCTGCTCCCTGATAAACGATATCAGTATTACTTCCTTGTCCTACATCCTCCACCGCATCTCATTTTTTTTTACTTAGATTGTCAAGGCTGTCACAATTATTGGCTGCTGTGACATTAATGTGACATTAATAGGCACACTCGCCACCAACTGGACAGGGGCGTGAATCAAAGTCACGGCAGACCTAAACTTATTTTTCTGAGACATTTTTGACAAAAACAGCAACTGTATGGATAGCAGAAGTGATTTAGTTGGCTGAAATTTTACCGGAAATACGTCAGCACCCCCGTGTGCAGCCGACACTTCTTGCACGGGTTAAGTGCAGTGGGAGTGTCTGTGCTGATAAGAGGAGAACAACTTAACTCAAAAGTGCGTAACTGTTTATGCGCTTTTTTTACGTAGCCTAAGTGTTTGATGGGACAATCCACCCCTAAGTGAAAAAAGCAAGCACCTGCGTGTTATTTTGACTTAAGTGCATGGGATACCTCTAAGCAATCAACGAATCGTAGAATAAAACCGTGAAAAAGATACGGCTCGAAAATAACAAAACGAATTATCCATTAGATCAATGAATGAATCAATCAATTTTATTATTATTATTACTATTATTGCAACCATACTAGTAGTTTTTCAAGTTTTAATGTAATAATGTGATGAGCCCTTTCAAACGCATATAACTGCATGGGCACTAATCAGGGATTGTTCTACCTTGAATTTTAATGAAATGCTATGCTATTTCGGGATTTTTTTCTCAAATCAACATGATAATTGTTTTACGATGCGATAGCTAGTATTAAAATTGAATAAATAATAATATCGTATTGCTGTGTTTATCCAATATTATTGGAGAGATGTTATTTCTACAACCGTATCGCCGCGGTCACCTTCAGTACTCTTTAATTTCATATTAATCAACCAGAATTGCAGTGAAACATTTATAAGTATATTGATAGATCTACTAAATGTTTTATACAGTTACTTTTACTTACTTTTATCATCTTGCATAAAATCTATACAAAATGAAACAAAACAGTAGGCCTATAATATAAATGAATACCAACTAGCTGTTTAAAATAGACCTACTATATATTATGCCTACTATTGACAATTATTAATTATTCAAAATAAGCATTTAAAAAGACAATATCTTGTAGTAAATGAAGTCATAATCAAGTCTAAGCATTGTTGTAAAACTGATAAGAAAACGATACTTTTCAGCCAATGAAAGGGACGGTAAATTAGCCCTACTGGGGGCCCAACAAAGGCATAATGCGAAGATTTATGGGCTGCCGCCTTTTAAGAAAAGGGTGCAAAGCCCAGCTCTGGTTGCACCTTCACTCACTGTTAAATTGTCTGGTCCATCATGCATACGCCACCAGATCCAGGCGGCGGTCATGGGGGAACCGTGTGCCAACGAAATGAAATGAGAAAAAAAAAAACTTTTGGCTTCTTGTGTATAATTTATTCCAAAATACTGAGTATTATGCTTACTTTCACTTTTCGCACTGATCAGAGTCATTAACTTCAAATGTCTGAACGAAAACAAGAAAGAACTGTAAGAAACGCGATGATACTTATTTATGAGCAGATGAATGACTTGACCTGTAAACTTTAAACCCTGACGACCTCTTCCTACGCTGAACAGACGGTTATTTTTCCCTGCGCAAAATGGTAATATGAGATAGGGAGTAGGGAGATGTGTCACATTTACCGCACAGCACTTTTTGACGTTTCCCATAAACTAGACAATTAAACTGAGTTTAGACGATTAATGGAAGCATACTGATTTTATTTTAATATGAATATGTTACATTATAGCTGAAGAGATTACTATAACATTGAGGCTCCAGCAAACTAGTTTAAGGCAGCGCAATATCAAAGACTGACTGACTGCTGTGAAAAGTATAGTGAAAATCAAATATCTCAAAACATCCATTTAATCCCTGCTATGACGATATATGATGAACTTTTTTGTGAGGCTCTATCACTTTATGTTGGTTTGAAAAGTTTATGTGCGTGTTTTATAGGCCAGCAGCTGTGGTTTATCACTAAAGCAGGCGAAGGGCTTGCACAGCCAACACTGCACTCAACTTCTCTTGGAGGACATTTTCACTTCAATTTAATAAGATTTCCTGGCTGAATTTATTATGATGCCTTTTGAAGTTAAGTGGCATATTATGACAAAAAGAGCTCTATAACCAAAGGGTATAGAAAAGCATTTTAAGAAGACTTACAGAATTAGCTAAATATTACTACCCTATTTTCTTCTCTCACAGTCATTATAATTTTGGGATAAGTTAATTCTTTATTCATGTTCTTGTACACGGAAATTATTTTTACTGCCATAAGGAAAAATGTCACAATGACTATAAAACTTGTTAATGGGTACATCCTGCGTTTTATAAGTTAAATCACTTTTTCATCAAGTCTACGCTATTATGATAAAAAAAAATCAGGTAATACTTTTTACCTACACTTTCCAAATACCACTCCATTTGCCACTTGTTTTCCCAGATATTAAAATGGTAATTAGATTAAGGCTGTCCAAACAGAATTCAGCTGAAAAACTTGAGAACCTTAAATTTGCGGAGTCAAAGATCAACAAAAATAGTCACTCGGCAATTTTTACACCGCCCTCATGTGACTCAGCAGTATCTCCTGAATTATGAGCAGACACTCTAGGATGTATAGATTATACATTATGTATCCATTCCCTAAGAAAAAACGCGAAGTCCAGTTAAAATACATTGGTGACCATTACAAAAAATTAAATCTGATAATAATCTGATAAGGTTGTACGAATATTCCTCTGAAATTCAATGTGAAGGGCGAGTAACAATTGAGAGATTTCCATAAAAGGTTAGGTAGTGAACATATACCCGTGGAAAATCATGTTAAAACATTTTAATTTTTTTATCCTTAATCGCCAGCGGAAGCGGCACTGTTTCTTTAACGACGTGACCTGGAAGTACATCATCTGGCCGGATTACCGCTGAGGGAGCCCTTTTGCTGCCTTATCGGAGCAGCTACATTTGGTGGTGGATCGAGGTTCACGAACCTGCTTAAAAATGAGCGTTCCGGCATTCATCGACATAACCGAGGAGGACCAGGTGCGGCAATGAAAGGAAAAGGGGAACCGAACTCTGCGCTTACGGTGTACCTAAGACGCGAACAGCTGTCTGTTATACAGCTGCTGCGCCTCGCGTGCGTCAGGCCGCGTGAGTTCGCGAGGATGCAGCTACGTAGCTAGTCACCTAATGATGCTAATGCCTAACCATACCTAGCGCTGGTGGAAACCTGCTGCATAACATTTATCTGTATGTGTATATGTGTGCGCTAAATCACTGTCTGTGTGATCATTCATCCATGAAGTGATGATTTTCCTCGTTTCGTGTAGCTAAGAACCGTCTTTGATAGTCTCGAGATGCCTTAATACAGCGTCATCCTCTCTGTCGGTGTTGTGCAAAATTAAGGAAATGTGGTATAGTCAAACCATTGCTGAAAGGTCTTCAGTAAGAGATGCAGGCTGTAAGTGAGACTTTATGAACAAAGGTAATGCCAGATGGTGCCAGTGATCATGTATGAAAACCAGACTGATAGTCAGAAATAGACTGAAGGTGTTTTTCCATTGAATTCTGTGTTTGGCCTGTAGGCTTCAGAGCTCAGAGCGTACCTCAAATCAAAAGGGGCTGAAATTTCGGAAGAGAACTCAGAAGGTGGACTTCATGTGGATTTGGCCCAGATCATCGAAGCCTGTGATGTTTGCCTCAAAGATGATGACAAAGGTAGGTGTCTATATGTACTTTGACTGACATACACAGACTAAGGTTATATTAAAAAAACTGAAAATTGCAGTAATTATTAAATTATCACTAATATGATAAAACAACTTGATGTATGTTGTCTTTTATGTTTCTAATTTTGTCACATGCATAAACATACATTGAACATGTGCACAGTGAAAAGCTTTTAAATGGTATAATTTTTCGTATTCATAAACTGTCCTCCTTGCAGATGTGGAGAGCGTAATGAACAGCATTGTGTCTCTGTTGCTGATCCTGGAGCCAGACAAGCAGGAGGCGCTGATTGAGAGCTTGTGTGAGAAGCTGGTTAAGTTCAGAGAGGGGGAGCGTCCCTCACTGAGGATGCAGTTGTGAGTGTTTCAATAGTTGCCATTTTCCTTCGATTCGGTGTCCAATCAAAATCCCCATTTCCAG